CAAGAAAATACTTAATTTTCGAATGAAAAGTGGAGGACAATATTTGAATTCATTAAATCAGAGTCAATTTTTTACGAAACGTAAAGCATTATTAAAGAGACGACCTACTGGAATTTCCTGTTACTACGTTATTAGACGAACCTTATCTCTGGGGAAATACAGACTTTGTGGGACAGAGATGAGAATATAGAATTGGAGAGAGCTCTTCATCCGAATTCAACAAGGAGCAGAGACTCCACATCGTCATTGCGATAATTAATACTCATCCCACTGGACTGTAAAGGAGAGTAGGGCAGTGAACGAATTATGAACTGGGACTTGTAACCATTTCGAGTAATCAAGAACTCTATGTGTACTCTTTCACGAAATGCAAACTTATGAATAATTTTCAAATACTTTTTCTACAATTTTTTCAAAAACTATTTTTAATTTTAAAACAGTAATGAAAAAACTACTTATCACAACTTTGCAAACTTTTCTCTCTTTATTTTTTTGTTTTTTCAAAACAGTGACCACACGTTGAACACATTTATATTTAAATGTTTTTTTTTAATCTTTTCTAAAGTTGGAAAATATTTAGTTTTTAAATATTTAAGTTTTTCTGCCCTTGATAATAAATAATAAATAATCACTTATCTAATATTTTACCTATAATTTTTGTTACAGTTTGCAGAGCGTCGCACACATTCCAAATCGTCAAAATAAATTAATTAAATTTTAATTTTTTGTTCCTACTTGATGAATGTCTATTAAAATGGTATTAATATTTAATGATGAATAATTTTTGGTATAATATTCTTATACTATGTACTAAAAACAATTCTAGTTTTTGAAGGTTGATGATGATGATGAAGGTACTTGATGATGAATGTCTATAAAAAAGTATTATTATTTAATGATGAATAATTTTTAGTAAAATATTCTTATACTATGTACTTAAAACAATTCTAGTTTTTGAAGGTTGTTCCTACTTGATGATGAATATCTATAAAAAAGGTATTAATATTTAATGATGAATAATATTTGGTATAATATTCTTATACTATTTTAAAACTACATTTTTTGACAACAAAAATTTAATTTTGTTTTTCCCTGACTTTCCCTTGAACTCCAGTTATAAAATTCTTACTTCTTCTTGACTTCAAAAATATTCTCATTCAGTTTAAAAATTGTTACTCAGAAAAATGTTCTATTGCTTCTTTTTTAAATAAATATTTAATCATTATTATCTTTCCATAAGAATTAAGATTTTTCAAAAATTTCGAATTCAAACCTTTTTAAAATTAAACCATTTAAAAAAAAATTGTTATAAAAAAGGAAGATATCGATCACTCCGAGTCTTAGACTCGGAGTAATCGATATCTTCATGTTTTATAATAAATTAAAAATGGCCCAGTGATAAAATCATTATTTTATAATATAAGAATATTGTTACTATAACTTATTCAAAATTACTTTCATCACTTTAATTCAATTATTGTTTTCTAGAATTTTTAACTAGCATTCTTCTTTAAATTAATTTTTTTTTAAATTTCTTTGAAAATTTTCAAATTCTTTTGTTTACAATTCAATTTTATGAAATTTCATCGATTATTCGGAAATTCTTCAATTAAATATATATTAGAAAATAAAAACTTCAAATAATTTCAAAAAAGTTCTATTAAATTTTTTTTAAAAAATTAAATCTACACAATTTTCAGTTAAAATTATGAAAAATTCAAACTTTTAAAGATTATAATTTGAAACCTTTTAAAAATCCAATTATTTCTAAAAATCCACAATATAATACTTTCACTTTAAATTCTAATTTAGTAAAAATGTTTACTAATTGGAGTTTACTAATTCGAGAGATTAATATTCAATTATAATCTAAAGTTTTAACTAAAATGCATATTTAAATCAATTTTTATTAGAAAATTCTACGAGAATTCAATTATTTAAATACAAAAATAAATAATTTATTGAATAATTGAATGTGTCTTAAAATTGAACTCTCATAAAGAATTTTATAAACAAATTTTTAAATAATTAAAATTCTTTTGACGAATTTTATGAAAATTTTTAATAATAATTTCATTTTAGAAGAAATTAGATTAAAATTGTATTAAAAATAATTGAATCTCTTGTAAAAATTTGATTGAATTAAAATAAGTTTTTGGAAATAATTGAAATTTTGCCAAGAATTCAATTTAAATTAAAATTTATTTTTGATAATAATTGAATTTTGAAGAAGAATTTTATTACTTTTAAAAATAATTGAAATTTTGATGAGAATTTATTTAAACTTTTTACCATAAATGAATTTCTGAGAAGAATTTTATTACTTTGGAAAATAATTGAATTCTTAAGATGAATTTTATTAAAATTTTTCAAAATAATTGAAATTCCAAGAGTTTTATTAAAATTTTTCAAAATAATTGAATTTTGGAGAAAAATGTTTTTATTTATAAAGATAATTGAAATTTTGACCAGAATTTTTGTAAATATTAGAAAATGATTGAATTTCAGTGAAGAATCATATTACTTTTGAAAATAATTGAATTCTAGAACTGAATTTTATTAAAATTTTTGAAAATAATTGAAATTCCAAGAATTTTATTAAAATTTTTCAAAATAATTGAATTTTGGAGAAAAATGTTTTTATTTATAAAGATAATTGAAATTTTGACCAGAATTTTTGTAAATATTAGAAAATAATTGAATTTCTGTGAAGAGTCATATTACTTTTGAAAATAATTGAATTCTAGAACTGAATTTTATTAAAATTTTTGAAAATAATTGAAATTTCAAGAATTTTATTAAAATTTTTCGAAATAATTGAAATTTCAAGAATTTTATTAAAATTTTTCAAAATAATTAAAATTTCAGGAATTTTATTAATATTTTTAAAAATAATTGAATTTTAGAGAAGAATTATATTATTTATAAAATTAATTGAAATTTTGACCAGAATTTTTGTAAATATTAGAAAATGATTGAATTTCAGTGAAGAATCATATTACTTTTGAAAATAATTGAATTCTAGAACTGAATTTTATTAAAATTTTTGAAAATAATTGAAATTCCAAGAATTTTATTAAAATTTTTCAAAATAATTGAATTTTGGAGAAAAATGTTTTTATTTATAAAGATAATTGAAATTTTGACCAGAATTTTTGTAAATATTAGAAAATGATTGAATTTCTGTGAAGAATCATATTACTTTTGAAAATAATTGAATTCTAGAAGTGAATTTTATTAAAATTTTTGAAAATAATTGAAATTTCAAGAATTTTATTAAAATTTTTGAAAATAATTAAAATTTCAGGAATTTTATTAATATTTTTTAAAATAATTGAATTTTAGAGAAGAATTATATTATTTATAAAATTAATTGAAATTATGACCAGAATTTTTGTAAATTTTTAAATATAATTGAATTTCTACGAAGAATTATATTACTTTTGAAAATAATTCATTTCTTGAGACGAATTTTATTAAAATTTATTTTTAAATAATTGAATTCTTTTATGAAACTTTACTGAAATAGTAGACATCGAATATAATTGAATTTTGACAAAATTTATTAAAATTGTTTTCAAAGAAATTGAATTGTTACAAAGAATATCATTAAAATTTTTGAAAATAATTCAATTCTTTCAAAAAATTAATTAAAAATGTATTGAAAATGTAGACAAAGATTTTTAAAATAATTAAATTTCTTTGATAAATTTTAATACTATTTTTAAGAATAGTTTAATTTTTCGAGAAATTTAATGAAAAATTGTATTAAAAATAATTGAAATTCAACGATGAGTTTCATTTTTTTAGGAAAATAATTGAATTCCTAAAAAGAATTTTATTATTTATGAAAATAATTCAATGCCTGTAAAAATTTTTATTATTTATTGAAAATAATTAAATTGTTGCGAAGAAATTTATAAAAAAAAATGGTAAATAATAGAATTCATATGAAATTGAGGAAAACTTTTGAAAATAACTGAAATTTTGCCAAAAATTTTATTAAAAATTTTAAAAAATACAATACAATATTAATACCCTGGGTATTAATATTTAATGATGAATAATGTTTGGTATAATATTCTTATACTATGTACTTAAAAGTTAAAACAATTCTAGTTTTTGAAGGTTGTTCCTACTTGATGATAAAGGTTTATTAAAATGGTATGAATATTTAATGATGAATAATTTTTGGTATAATATTTTTATACTATGTACTTAAAAAAATTATAATTTTTGAAGGTTGATGATGATGATGAAGGTACTTGACGATGAATGTCTTTTAAAAAGGTATTAATATTTAATGATGAATAATTTTTGGTATCTACAATATTCTAATACTATATGTAACAATTCCAATTTTTTTTAAAATTTTTACCAAGAAAAATGTTGCTGTTCAAATATTATACACAAATGTTGAACTTACCTAATACTGGCCTCTAATTCGTGTCTTCAAATAAAAATTTTTCCATTTTCCTCAACCCTTTCAGTTAATTAACACATATTGCCTGAATGCTCAGCATTGGGAAAATAACAAAATTTGTAAAATTCAATCTACGTCAGTTCCACGTGTGTTTCATCGTGCAGATAAAAAAAAATTGATTCTACGCAAAAGTGAGACTTGGTATTGTTGCATTGTATCTGTGTTCATGAAACACGTGGTTAAGAAGAGCAAGCTTCTGGTGGATGTGCCGATAAAAGAGCAAGCGTTTCGCATTGAATTGGTTTTGAGGAAGTTTGTCGCCACGCAATATCATCTCGCCTCCCAAGACTTGAATATTGCCAATATCGTGAATCCTTTATCGTTGGTATTTTTCTCGCGCCTTTCATTCGACGACAACGACGACGAGGAGAAAAATAAAAATCCACCCAAATAAACGAAACGAAAAGAAAAACGTTTTCAAATAAAGTGTATACCGTGGAATTTCGAGGAACGTATATTTTTCTTTCTATTGCTTCGAAAAAGAGAGAGAGAGAGAGAGAGAGAGAGATGCGCAATGTTTCCACTTACTTATTTCACCCAAGATTTATTACAAATACGAGTTTGTTTTGCGTGATACAATAATTTATTTTAATAACGCCATTACTCCATCTTAAATACAAGGTGTAAAATATGCATGAAATACAGAAATCTGATATAAATAAGTTATAGTCGATGAAAATGTGTAATTTGATGCATCGTTGATAATAATTAAATAGCCTTAGGCATGTGTTTCTGCCAAAATGTACAAATTATTTTTTTTTTTTTTTATATAGATAAAAGTGTAAATACTACATTTTTAATATTAATATTTTTCGACAGCCTTGTAACTCTATACACAATCTTTATTAAATTCCAGATGTGTAAAATATCTCAAAAGATCAGTACTTTTATTTTACTCTTCATTTATTATCACGGGAATCCAATCTCCCTTTTATTTTCTAAAATATCTTAAACACACACTTTCGAACATGCGATGCAAAATAAAGAAAGTAAAATTTTCCTTATAAATAAACAAAATCACAAAAGAAAAACATAAAATTATTATTCGCTTTGCGAATTGAAACTTAGGCCCATGATGATGCATTGAAGAAAAAAAATAGAGCTAAACATAATTTTTTTTTTTTTGATTCAGCGCACTGAATAATTAAATTTTGATAGAGGAGAGAAAAGCGAGCAATCGAAAGAGATAGTTACTAACAAATCAGACGAATTCTGAAACGTTTTACTATTTAATATAAGAGTAACTCTGTCTAACCTTCTGTTCGAAAGTGACGACCTATTTAACGGACATATATGATTCTTATAAAAACAAAGAGTGCTCCCGTCACATATTTATTTTTTATTAAATTGATTAAACTCGCGGGACCCTCTTTTTCTTTACTGTCAAAGTGCTCACCATTCGTACCATGTTAGATTCGAATAAATCAGACGTTGAAATCCTTCAGCAATACTGAGAGCTTTTCCTTTTTCTCCATTATTTCACGGCAACTATCATTCCACGGGCCGTAATTTAAGTTCATTATTTGCTCTGCACGATCAAGAAATCTGCGTGTCTTCTTTAGAGTATTTCTGAAATTAATGTAATTTATTAAAATTAGAAATTAATCTATTCAGTAAAGGAGACCAAACACGCGTGTACTATTATTTACAATTTACTGTACTGTTATTTACAAAAATGGTATTTATGTTGAATTTTAATTTGTATAATCAAACAGCATAAAGTTTCAGTAATGCGATAAAAAATATAAAATTAGAAACAAATTCAGGTCAAAGTATAGTATTTATTCAGTAGTGGTCTATCACAAGCTTCAAATGGACTAACATATCGATTTTCAATAAATTGTCGAATTTCATCAACTTCTAAAACTCTTTCATTAACTTCATTTTCTGTAATTACAACAGCGGCATCATGTCCTAATTATAAATGTATTTTTAAAAACATTTCACTTGTCACTTCATCGTGATGTATTTTTAATAATATGAACTAGTAATTAATAATAGTATAATCTCAATTAATAGTCAATAAAATTAAAATAATTAATGTAAATTAATAAACCATCGAGTTCATTATTATCATTATATTATTGTTAATTAACAACCATAGTAAGATAACAGACTTTGGACTCGATAATTAATTTTAAAAAAGTATCTTTAAAACTAAAAAAAAGTAGAAAAAAAGTAACTGTCGAGATGTAAAACATTATTTGTAGCATCAAGAAATAAATTCTATTTTATTCTAAAGTAACTTTTGAAAAACTAAACTTGACGACCAAAAAAATCCCTTTTTGGAATCTTCACAAAACTGTGAAAAATTGCATTCTATATTTTATTTTCCTGACTTTTTCACTAATTTTCATAAAAAATATTTCTTTCTTTCTTATCCTGCTAATAAAAATTCCTGCAACGAAATCTTATTATTCATAAAAGACTTTTAATGTTTATAAAAATAATTTAATTCTTACGAAGAATTTAATAAAATTTTTTTAATAATTGATTTCTTTCGACCAATTTTATGCAAATTCTAATTTAAATAATTGAATTCCTGAGAAATTTTTATTATTCATGAAAAAAATTAAATTCTTACGAATATTTTTACAAAAATTTTTTTAAATAAATAAATTCTATTTGGAAATTTTATGATGGTAGTAGATATTGAAAATCATTGAATTGCGAAAAGTTTTTAAAAATAACTAAATTTTACAAAGAATTTTATTAAAATTTTTGAGAATAATTGAATGTCTGTGTGGATTTTATTAATTTTTTTTTTTGAAATAATTGAATTCCTAAAAAGCATTTTATTATTTATGAAATTAATTGAATTTTTCAAAGAATTTTATTAAAATGCCTCAAAATAATTGAATTTTCAGGAATAATTTTATTAAAATATTTAAAAATAATTGAATTCCTGTGAAAACTTCTATTTTTTTTGTAATTAATTGAATTTTTACAAAGAATTTAGAAAAAATTTTTTTTAAATAATTGATTTTTTCGAGGAATTAAAATTCAATTTTTGAGAATAATTACATTTCCCAAGCAATTTCTGTAAAATTGTATTAAAAAATAATTGAAATCCTGCGATAAATTTTATTATTTATGAAAATAATTGAATAGTTGCTAAGAATATTATTAAAATTTTCAAAAAATAATTGAATTCCTAATTTTCTAAAAAAGGACAATTTCATTAAAATATTTGAAAATAATTGAGTTTCTATGAAGATTTCTAATTTTTTGGAAAATAATTGAATTCTTAAAAAGCATTTTATTATTTACGAAAATAATTAAATTCTCGCGAACAATTTTATTAAAATTTTTTTTAATAATTGAATTTCCAAGAAAAAATTCATTACATTTAAAAATAACTGAATTTTTTTGATGAGTATAATTGAATTTAATTAAATAATTGATTTTTCGGGAATAATTTTGTTATTTATCGACGTAATTGAATGTTTTCGAAGAATTATTTATATAAATAATTGAATTCTTTCAAAGAATTTTATTAAAGTCTAAAAGAATAATTGAATTATTTCAAAAAAATTTAATTAAAATTGTATTTAAAATAATTGATTTCTTTTGAACAATTTTATTAAAATATTTGAAAATAATTGAATTCCTGCGAAAAATTTTAATATTTTTGTTAATAATTGAATTCTTGGAAAGAATTGTAAAAAAACATTCCTTTAAATAATTGATTTTTTCGAGGAATTGAAATTCAATTTTTACGAATAATTACATTTTTTTGAGCAATTCCTGTAAAATTGTATATTAAAAATAATTGAAATCCTGCCATGAATTTTATTAATTATGAAAATAATTAAATTATTGCGTAAAATTTTATTATAATGTTTAAAAAGAATTGAATTTCCGTGAAAAATTTTGTTATTTTTGAAAATAATTGAATTCTTCATAAGAATTTTATAAACATTGTTTTTAAATAATTGATTTTTTCGAAATATAATAAATATTATGAAAATTTTATTTTAAATAATTGAAATCTATAGTGGAAAACTTTATTTGTGAAAATAATTGAATTTTTCGATTAATTAATTTAAAATAGTATTTAAAATAATTGAAATTTTTCGATAAGTTTTATTATTTATAGAAATAATTGAATTCTTGCTTAGAATTAAATCAAAAATTTATTTAAAAAATTGAATTTCCATGAAAAATGTTATTATTAGTGAAAGTAATTGAATTATTGTAAAAAAATGTATAAAAATATTGTTAAATAATTGATTTTTTCGAAATTTTAAAAAAAAATCTTATTTAGAATATTCTAAATTAATTGAATTTCTGTGAAAATTTTATTATTTATGAAAATTATTGAATTTTGGATGGATTTTATCAATTTATTTTTTAAATAATTGAATTCTTTTGTGAAATTTTATGAAAATACTAGATATTGAAAATAATTGAATTTCAAATATTTTTTGAAAATAATTGAATTGTTTTAAAGAATTTGATTATAATTTTTAAGATTTTTTAAGTAAAAATCGTCCGTTAAGTCAGTAATGAGCCATTAATTATGAATTGGAAAATGGTACTGAAAAAATACTATTGAAATGAAAACAAAACAGAAATTTCGCTCCATTTAACATTTATCACAATTGCTCCTTGACACTCCACCTTTAATAAATATTTATCATTTGTTGTTTTACACTTTACCTTTGACGATCTAAATGTAAGACTCTTCAATGAAGTAGAATCTTAACAAGAACCAAGTTGCAGTTGGTGGTAATAAAATTTTCTTTTCTAAATTACTTTCATTCGAAACTTAGACCTAATTGTTTTAAACTTCCGAATTCAATTTATTCTCTTTTTTTTTATTTGATCTCTTTACTATCGAAAAAAACTGTTTCAATTGCGATTCAAAAGGAATAAACATTCTAAAATGTGTTTCCTCCTCGATAATGACAAAGGGATCTCAGATATATATTTTCAACTTGTGTCTTAGGGAATCGGACAGCGTGTCCTTCCAGTTGATATCCCATTTCATCTCTTTTGTTATCTTTGAACGAGAGTCTGCTTTAAACCTCTTTACGGATGGACACCCTTGATGCGTTCATTGTCCCGCTTTTCCTGAGCGAGTCGGGCACGATCTTTGTTGAACAGGAAGACCTTTTGTCGTTCCCTTGCCAATGAATCTATATTAGCAACTACGTTAGCAATAGCTATAATAGTACAGTATCGGTATATATCGAGACTGTGCGACAACTTTCAACATTGAAAGGTTGATATTTACTTCATAAAATGGTTATTTCAAATTACTGTTTTAGTTATTCCTTCAGGGTGTCTACTATTTTCGTTCAACAAAATTCCCGGTTATTTTCCGACTTTGTCCTAATTTTTCCCGGTTTTTTTTCTCATCAAATTCAGCAAAATCGGTTAAGATTCACTTGAGTTATTGGATTTTATATATAATTAGTCGATATTTTGAGCTGTCTGACTAATATTGACTTAAACTACTGATATAAAAAAGTAATTTCAATCGTCTGACTAAAAAGATTTATACTACTGCCACATTAATTTATAACAATTAGTAATGCTACAAATTGTAACGGACATACGTCTGTCTGACTAGAACTTGATTTCTACTACTGGTACCAAGTTATAAAAATTTTACTACTATTGACACGAAAATATAAAAATTGAACAAAACATGTCTGACTCATATTGGCTTAAACTACTAGGACTAAAATTTAAAATAATTTTAAGTCTGACTAAAACTAGTTTTTACTACTGATGCCAAAATTGAAATAAAATTTTAATTATTCTGTCTGACTAGAATTGACTGTTCCTACTGAGATTTCTAAAAATACTGAAAGTCTGTCACAAATTGTCAATTCTGTCCGAAGTAAAAGATTTTCTACTACTAAAAGAAAAATATTAAGAAAAATAAAATTAAAAAAAAATAAAATAAAATAATTAAATTTTTATTACTGGATAATAAGAATTAATGATTTTTACTACTTATACTAAAAGTAACATAAATTAATTAATTAATTAATTTAATAGATTTTAGAAATAAAATAATTAAATTTTTATTACTGATAATAAAAATTAATGATTTTTACTACTAATACTAAAAGTAACATAAATTTGTAATTAGTTTGCCTAACTAAAATTGATCTCTACTACTGAATACTACTACTAAGTCTGATTTAAACATTATTCTTACAGCTGACAGAAAAATACTACTGATTCAGGAAAAATGTGTCTGACTCAAATCTTTTTGTTCTACTGACAACAGACAATTTTAATAAATAATTTGTCAAAAAATTTCCCATTATGTCTGATTTAATTTTTTTTACATTATTTTTAAATATTTATAAAAATTCTAACATTTCAAAAAAAATTTGTCTGACTCGAACGTATTTGTTCTACTGACAACAAAAATTTGATCAACTCGCAAAATTGTTGTCCAAATTAAAACTAATTTTCACTGCTGATAGTTTGTCTGACTAAAATTGACCTCTACTACTTATTTTTCTAAAAATACTGAAAATTTGTCAAAAATTGTCAATTCTGTCTGATTTAAATCTTTTTTTACTACTGAGAGAAAAATACTAAAG